GTGTAATATATGTGGATTGCTTAATAATTATAAAACGTCATTACCAAAAGCGATGAAAACAGATTTAATGTAATCAACTTATCTGAACCTTTGATAGCCGTGGGCGATACGATATTGCTGGACTCTCTTGATATGATAATATGATCAAAATAGAAATTTTTGAGGAAAAATGATAGCATTTAATGCCTTTTAAACGTGTTATATTTACTTTCATTTTTTATTTATTTTTTAGCTCGACTGAATAAATTTCTCCTCGTTATTGATATTTTAAAATTTATAATGAAACTAATCATTGATTGAACAATATTTAGATTACTCTATATGAAAGGATGTTTAGCCATCATCATTAGAATTCTATCTTAAGCTGAATCTTCAAAGAAATGTTCACACTTTAAACTTTCTTGTGGGATTTGAATCGATAAAATTATACGAAATAGAAGAATAACACATATAATGATTCCAGAAAAATGTTTTTATTTATATAATAAATACTATATTGGAACGTGGTACAAGGGTCCGAAACGTAAAAAATGGAACACGGGATATTAAAAAAAAAATGAATGAAAACTGAAAAGACTCCTTCATTAAAACAAGAAAAAAAACTGAAATGTAATAAACTATTCTTCCTTATTGAGTAAAAAGTGGATAAATACTTATTTTATTTGATATAATTTTTTTTAGGGTTAGGACTAATTATAGAAATTTCTTTTTTGCCACAAGATTTATTTATATATTTAATTAGTTTATGAATAAAAAACACTTGATTCATTCATGCTATTCCAATTTTACAATGAATTTTTCTGAAAAACAAAACAACACGGTTTTAGTAATTTAATCTGGCTATGAACAACAGTGGCCGAAATGAATTTTATTGGGCATGAATCACATTTTCCAATGAAAGTATTAACCGAGGACTGACTGTGCAGATATTTTAAGAGTGGAATGTACGCTATGCGGCCACGATTTCATAAATTGTATGCTAAGCTCCATCGTAAAATATATATTCTGGAATTAGGGATTAATCCAGTTGTACAATAAAGGATAATCGAGAATTATGGGAATTGTTACTTTATACCATTACAAGAACACATAAAAAAAAAAATGGATTTTTTTTTTTAATGTGTGAGGACCACATATGTATCGGGGATAGTCCTCCTTAATTATTGGGTGTCAAAATTCTTCACAGGGTATGGGGGCTTCGCACCAAGCTTGATGCATTTGTAAAGAAAATTGACTCCTTATGTCATTGTTGTGGTGTTCTGGAAACTGCTCAGCATGTCTGCACCACTTGTACCGCTTTTCAGACAATAATGGCCTAATTGCTGAGGGAAACCAGACTTTGCATCATCACGGAAGACGATTTCCTTCACCTAGTAAGCAAGGATAACTTCCCGTTCTGCGAAGCTTTCGTTTACGAATGGATAGAATTAGTGGGGCTTTATCATTTCAACCTCCTAGTGAAGATTAAGATCAAATGGTAGAAGTATCGTGCAATAGTATAAACAAAGGAATAGTATACTAAATCTGAACAAGCATACATATAATTTTGGAAATGAATTCCTCTTACTCAAAGTAAGTATGCAGGAGAAAAAAAAGGTCTTTTTTAATTAAAAATAGATTAGTAATGGAAAAACCTCTCTGTTGCAAAATAATTGGAACCCTATTGGTTTACGAAATAAGCCACAATGTCCCCTCCTCCTCTCCACCCCCACTAAAAAATGTTTGATGACGACCTAGGTTAATTGGGAGAGGGCGGGGGGGGGGGAGGGGAGGAGGGATGTGGAGGCAATATTTCGGAGCTAATAAGACTGAGCTAACTCAATCTACGCCGAGGGAACGTCATATATGCTACCATTTCCTCGAACATCCACGATAGCTGCCTCGACGCATCAATTCAGAGGTGGGAGGAATATTGGAGAATTTCAAATTATAATAGAACTGTATACAACCTACCTTTGCACCAGGATCTCTCCGCTCCGAATCTGAAACATAAAATAAAATGCTGTAAGATGAGTAAGTAATAAACTGTTGAAAATACAAAATTGTCAGGAATTTCAGTCAAAGGTTCTTTAATGAGTTAGCTGACGTTTGGACACCAACGTGTGGGTTATGATTTCGAAATTAAAAAAGAAATGCTGAAATTCCGGCTTACTCATTAAAAAAATTTCGACTGAAATAAAAAACAACAGTTTTGATAAGAGGTCTCCAAACTACGGCCAGCAAGCACCTCCAATCCAGCTTGAGGAAGTTACTTTGATTAAACGCTCCTATACACAGAACGCGATATGTCTAGACAATACGATACCTTTGTCGGCACCGCGCTCAGTGTGACTGCTATAATGCAATAGATAGTAAAACAAGTATATAGCCGCATAACGACCGATATAAATATCGTATCGTCGACACATATCGCACTCTGTATAGGAACCGTAACCTAATTAAAAAATAAAATATATAAAATCTAGTAAATGACTCAAATATGAAGTTGCTACAACATTTAATGTATGAGTCGTTTCACTAAAAAAGCACGTTTGATTTTTCATCGATATAACTGGCATAGTCAAATTCTTTAGAGACACTGGCGCTAAGTGGTAATTCCTTGAAGTCGAATTTAGCTAAAAAGATCCTGTAACATAAGAGATATAAACCTAAATTAAATAAATAAGTTCAGTGTCGTAATTATTTTAGCTGTTGAGGTACACACATATATACAGGGTGTATCAGGGTTAAGTGGCCAAATTGAAAACAGGAATTAAGGACCACAAAACAAGAAACAAAATTTCTCTGAAGGTATGTCCGCAAATGCTTTGATTAGGAGATATTCACAACTAAAGATTTTCGTTATTATGCATTATTTACGTTTTATGAAATAAATAAAACTTATTTATTTGTTCCAACTACTTTATTAATTAAATGTAAACATTAAATTCATATTAAATGTTGTTTAAAGCGATTTCCTTGGCCATTAAGACAGGCTCGGCACCTTTCTTCAACAGCAGCAGTGGCAGAACGGCACTGGATATGTGTTACTGTCACAAGATTCAATTATTCTTCTTCGTATGGAAATAAGGTCATTGACCGCACTTGCATAGACTTTTTGTTTAATTTCATCTCAAACGAAAAAATTAGTGGTGTCAGGTCTGAAGAGCGTGCAGGCCAAGCCACTGGTCCTGCACGACCAATCTATTGGTAGGGATAATTAACATTTACCCATTTTCGTGGACCTCTTCCGACAGGACAACCATTTAATTGAAGCCACATGTCCTTTCTCAGTTGTAGTAGAATATGTTCAACAAAATCATAGTAATCATTATTAAGAAATTCCAGGTATGTGCCGGCATAGAGTCGAGAAATGCGGACCTATTAAAATATTGTGTATTATCCCCAACACACATTGTACTAAAACCTGTGCTGAAAATGATACTAGCTAATTGCATGGGGATTTTCCTGCGACCAGAGATGATTATTTTTCTGATTGAAGATATCTCTTCTTGTAAAGGTAGCTTCATCTGTCCAGAGAATTTTAGTGTTTACATTTAATAAATACGGTAGTTAGAACAAATAGATAAGTTTTATTTATTTCACATAACGTAAATAATTCATAACTAAAATCTTTAGGTGAGAATATCTCCTAAACAAAGCGTTTGCGGACATACCTTCAGAGGAAATTTTTTTCTTGTTTTGATGTCTTAAGTACATTTTTGCAGTTTGGCCACTTAACTCTGAAACACCCTCTACACATATATTTCATTAATTTCACAAACAATGAATGCGACGAATCTGGTTATGAAACGTTCGAGTAAGATTCTTCTGCCATAGGACAGAGAACCGACGTTGTATATTAACTTACGATCAAGCCGAAAAGAGAATCCTATACAAGAATCGGGAAACAGAATACGGTATTGAAAGAGGAAATTTTAACAGTACCAACGAAGATAGTGAAACTTGTTTAGCTTTGTAAACTGGCAGCGATGAGGAGATCAAAGGAACGCTTTTCAATTTTTTATTTTATTTATTCATGATATTTACAACTGTATTAAAGAAATACATCTAATAAATAAAATGAATAATAATTTAATCAAAATATAGTAGATAAAAACTTTAAAAAGTTATCAGAAATTACGGAATAAAATAGCCAGAACGATTTTTACTTAACTTCTTATATTGATGTAAAATCAAATTTTGTAACAGGTCTTATCTTGATTAAAATAGTTTTGCAGGGCCTTAGTGCCGAATTTTCTAAATTGTTTCCTCTAAATTACCTTTAATTTTGACTATCAAAGTTAATTGAAGTCCTCTCTCCCCAAGCAGTGATAAAAATTTATAAATATGAACTATAAAAGAATTTAATAAATAAACTGAAGGAGGAATTTAGAGAAATATTGGGTGGATCCTTAAGTCTATTCGGTTTTTGAATGGTGAAATAATACATGTTTTTTTCATACAAAGAATACATTTTTTTCTATAATGTATTTGCCAATATTATTAATGACTTCTCGCTATGAATCTAACAATTTAATTATTTCGCACTGGTAAAACACCTGGGGCTTTTTAGCGAAAAACTCATCGAAATATGTTTTCACATCTCTCTCATTAGCGAACGATTTCCCGTTGAGGGGTTTTCGGAGAGACCAGAATAAGTGGTAGTCGGATGGTGTGAGTTCTGGTGAATACGTTGGATGTAATAAAGCATTACAGTTATGTTGAACTAACTTTTAATGTGTGGTCTAGCGTTGTCTTGGTGGAATAGAACACCTTTGTGATTGAATAGTTTGGCTGTTTCTGTCGCAAAGATTGGTCAAATTTTGTTAGTTCGGTGCAGTAGATCTTCGAATCAATCCATTTTCCTTGTGGAAGGAACTGGTAACACAGCACGTCGCGGCAATCCCAACATATAAATAGAAAAATCTTTTTCCGGCCTTCTAGGTGGTATTAGGCGGCTGGCAGTGATTGTACACTATCTACTGCGCACAACATAGTCGCAAATGATCCACACGTCACTATCCGATCGACAATGGATTCGTTTTGTGCCGGTTCAGAAGAGAATTGCAGATTAATATTCGGTTGACCAGATTTGCCTCAGTCAGTTTGTGTGACCCCCAAACATCGAAGCGGGATACGTAGCCAAGCTGTTTTAAATGTCTTTGAATGGTCCCAAAACACATTTTCATGTGTCGCCGCAAATCCTCGTACCGGTAGCGACCGGTCATGTTCGATCAGAACCTTGAAATCGCTCGAATCAACCTCGGTGGGCCGATCGCTGCGGGGTGCATCCTCGAGACTCTTATCTCTGGAACGAAATTTGGCAATCCATTTTTGAGCAGTACGTTGTGTTAAGACATTGTCACTACATATCTTACATATCTTTCTGTGGACCTCTGCAGCTCGCTTGCCTTTTTTGAAATAATAAAGCGAAAAATACCGAAAATTAACGTTATCATTTGATGTATTCACTACGCTGTAGTACTATCATAATTTTCAATAAATATCATTCGATAAATATCATTATTTTCAGATATGGCAAAGAGAACTGAAGGTATTTGAACACGATTCGCACTACCAACGAAAACCAAAAGAACTTGGAATGGATCCAACTAATACTTTCACAAATTATTAGTACTAATTTATTTATTTCCTTTCCACCAACGTTTCAGCCTTTATGCAATTTCCAAGAGAAGAAAACTTTAATAAAAGAAACAATTATCACAGCCTAATTACAATTGCTCATTAATTATTTATATTTTCTATTTTATGCTTACGTACATATTTTAAGATAAAATTAAATCGATATGAGCCGAATTGCCCTTCTCATGATAACAAAAGTCCACTACTAAACCCTCCACTTATGTTTATATAACTTCTTTACATGTCATTTTAATTAATTTCAAACTACATTTTACAAAACAAAAATTACATTATTAATTTATCTGTATGTATTGCTAAACTAGTTTAAAAACCTTTATGTTATAAATAATAACATTTTTTTTAGAGCTATATTATTAACTCAACATATTTTAATTTTTTTTATTAAAAGACATAATTCTTCTCAAATTTAGTTTTAAAATTAAATACAACTTTTTTTATGTTCACAATTTAACATAATTCATTTAAAATTTATCCAAACCAGTATAAAACTCTCTGATATCAATGTATTTATAAATTAATTTTACTCATTACCTTTGCATAATGTTAACATGATTGCCTTGAATCAGCTTTGTAAATTAACAATACAATCTACGTTTACAGTAATATACAATGCTTCCAAAATTTTCCCTTTGATTGTATTTTTCAATTTTTGTACATTTGAATATTACCAAAATCAAAATTTTGTTCATTAATAATAAAATGTTTTTTGTGTAATTCTTATGCTGATACAATCTCTCATTCATCTATTATTTAATTTCCGCTATATACATTGTCTCTCATTGCTAGTAGTATTAAAATTTGATAAATGTGAACTATGGAAGAATTTCACAACTAGCTATAGAAGAAACATTTTCGAAAATTGAAAAAAAAAAACTAAATTGAAATTATTTATGATTCAATTCTTATCTTATTCTACTTTAAAAACTCTTGCCCCTTCATTTAAAAATAGCTGCAATACCTTCGATGTTGTTTGGTAATGCGCTATTGTGTTTGTAGGTATTGAAGGCGGAAGTCAAAATTAATATTGTTTTGATTGAAGAATTTATTTTACATTTCCCCATCGGATGGTTTAGGCATTAACATTAATATTTCAAGAAATTAATATTATTTAAGTAAATTTTTACTTTGAATTATTATTATTTTTTTTTAAATGAATTTTACAACACTATTCATATGTCGTCACCAAACATTAGTCTTTGCCATCTTCTTCACGCATTTCCCTCCCTGTTCATCATTACTTCCTTAACTCCCTTATACTAGTTTCTCCTCGGGCGACTTTTCGGTTTACAATTCCGAATTCGCTTAGGCCATCGTCCCTCTTCCATCCTTATCACAGGTCCATACCTCTCGAGCTTCATAGTTTCTATGTTATGGAGGATGTTCTCCGTTGGTTCACTCGTTTCCTTATTTCCCTGTTGGGAACATTTCGAAGGTGAAAGACATAACATGAACTCCTCCAATAGTCCATTTATAGGGTTAGCAATATTTTTGATCGACTCTCTTTTATTGTCCATAATTCGTCTGAATAGAGAGTCACACTTTCCAGGAACGATTTATAAACTTTTTTTTTTTGTTTTTAAGGACACTGATTTACTCCACAGAACCGTATTTAAGGTCCTGATGATTATTTCCCCATTGCTTATACTCTTTTCAATTTCCAAATCTGATGTTCCTGTCATATTCACCCTTAAATTCACCATTAGATTGCTGACTTACTCATACATGATATAAAAAGAAAGAGAAAGTAGCGAAAATAAAAAAGTCCCGAAAAAAAGGTCTCTGTGTGTGTATGTGAACAGTATTACTAAAAATAAAAATACCGGGATGTTACAGCTACTTTTTTTTTTCTAAAATGGACTTCGATTTTGTCGATTATACACATTTATTTCGATTTTCTCGAAAATAAACCTAACGATTTTGTCTAAATTTCTATATAAATGTATTTTTTTTTTAAATTTGTTTATTGAGAAATATTACAATCTGTCTCAGTTAAGGACACTTATAATTGAGTTCAGAGAGCACATTGACACCATATTTATAGAAACATAAATAAATAAAGTAATAACAATATAATAAATAGCAATATGAACAAAATAAAACATTACAAGGAAAAAAATAATATATATATATATATATATATATATATATATATATATATATATATATATATATATATATATATATATAAGTAATAATAAAATGTACTTATAGCAAAAAATAACAGGCATACCTACTTACACTGTTTACAATCTGCTAGGGGAAATCCGACTTATCCCCCCCTCCCACTTGTGGAGAAAACGCAAGGCTTCAGGAGATCCTTTCGCTTCTCCCTCAACTACTGGTATTAAAAACATTGGAGGCTAAGAGCAGTACAGCCACAGACACTCATGACTTTATTGGAGAATCATGCCATCTCCAGAAGTCATATATATGATGTAAAATGTAATTATTTTTGTATTAGATACGTTTTATTCTCTTTGAAATTGTTTGGCAGGGCTTAGGTGCCAATATAGGCTTAGGCTTAGGTACTAATATAAAATATCTTCAATATTGTATATTAGTAACTATTATTATTAATAATTATAATTAAAATATCTATAATAATACCTAGCTGTTGGTAGTAAAAAAAAATTGTGAAATAAACTAAGAAAAAAATGTAATAATTATCTAAAGTAGAAAATAGGAGACATTTTTCCAGACTCTGAAATCACATTTCTGGAAATATAAGTAGTAATATTAAAGTATGTACCTTTGGAAAGGCAAAGATTATATAAAAATGAATATGCTCTTATAAATCAAGATGATGCCTTTTAATTATTGTAGTTAATTACGTTTAATAATATATTTTTGAATAGCTGATTAATATTTCCATAGAAGCTGGATAGAATTTTCATTGAAAATGTATAAAAAAAAAAAAATATTTTATAGGTTGATAAATTCTCTGGACATAGCTCAAGCTTTTGAATGGGTGTGGCAGGCCGGGCTTATTTCCAAGCTGAAAACCTATCTACCCCAGTCCTTGTACCTAATCCTCCGCTCCTATCTCTCTGATCGTACCTTTCGGGTTCGCTGTGGTTCAGAATTTTCCGACTCCTCCCAGTTGAAGCCGGTGTTCCTCAAGGATAGCGTCTTGGGCCCCGTCCTTTATATCCTTTTTACCGCCGATATCCCTGTCCATCCCAAAACCTTCCTGGCAACATTTGCTGATGACACCGCCATCCTATCATCCAACTCAGATCCCGAAATAGCATCTTTAAATCTGCAAAGGCACCTCTCCATGATTGAGCACTAGTGTAATAAATGGAGAATCAAAGTAAACGAATCCAAATGCAAACACATTACCTTCACACTCCGCCGCAGATCCTGTCCATCAGTCCACTTTAATTCCATCCAGCTTCCTTTTTCAGACACAGTCCGGTATCTTGGCTTTGTCTTAGACCGAAGACTAACGTGGAACCCACATACTAGACTTAAAATACAGGAACTTAACCGACGATACGGCCAATTATACAGACTACTGACCAGAAAATCTCAACTTTCAATTGACAACAAATTACTAATCTACAAGACAATCCTGAAACCTATTTGGACCTACGGACTTGAACTTTGGGGGACAGCAAAATTCTCTAACATCAAACGCATCCAATCCTTTCAATCCAAAGTCCTTCGAACAATAGTCGATGCTCCGTTCTATGTAACCAACAAAACCCTACATCATGACCTTAATATCCCATTTGTCCTTGACCTTATCCCTGAAAAAGTTTCAAAATTCCATCAGAACCTTATCAATCATCCAAATCCCCTAGCCCAATCTCTATCTAGTTCCACTCATCCCTACAACCCTCCTCGAAGGTTGAAGCGGCTGTGGCCTGGAGATCTTTTATAGTATTTATTTTGGAACTCTGGCAATGGCCAGATTCTCCACTCAAGACATGAATGTATGTGGCTAAGCGCTCTCGCTCAAACTCCACCGGCTTTAGCACCGGTGAGGCGGTTGAGAGAGTAGCGCGGGGATTTGGGTTCCCCGCCTGATTGTATATATTGTATATAGGTGTGACTGTTTTTATGTTTTTAATTTACTTGTATTTAGGTTATATTATTTTTTTTATTGTATATAGTTTTTATTTATTATTATTTAGTTATTATTTTACTTTTGTTAATTTTATTTATTTATTTGTTGTATATGTGTTCATTTATCAATATAATTATTGTCCCTGTGACAGAGTATTATACGTCTAAATAAATAAAAAAAAGAAAAAAAAAAAAGAAAGTTTGATAAATTCAAAATTTATAGTACACAGAATTTGCAAATAATTTATAATTATTGTCTTAGGTTCGTATTAATAATTAAAATACTATACTTAAAGTTTGTTAAATTAAAAGCAATTAGGATGGTTGGTGAAAGTTGTGTGATCCATTGCACCAGCTTTTTTAGGTAAGAGACAAGAAATGACAAGCAATCGGAATCACGATTACCCTTTTTATCCGTTTTTCTTTCCAATATTTTACGTATTCTTCAGTTTTATCATATTTGGGGAGGTAAAAGGATAGAGGTGATAAGAAG